CATGGAGGAGGACCCAGGAGTGATTTCTGCAGGTGGGATAAGTGCAAATGCAGAGAGCACTGCCTGAGTCTGTGTGTCCCCAGGATGAGGACATGGCTGAACCCATGTCAGAGCCTAATGCTCTCACCCGTACTTGAGAATTAACAGATCAAGCTAAGGCTGTGGCATAGGAAAATTATCTCATTTCAATAACATCAAGGCTCAAGAATTATGGTTTGATTGTTTAAACTTGGGTTCAGGGCTTAGGGTTGTTTAACCTCGGATTCAATGTTCCTGGGATATATGTAAAATTAAAATCTGGAACGGAAACACTTAAGGTCCCTACGTACCTTCCTTTGGCTCCGTCTATAGATTCTGCAGAGCACAGCTTCCCAGTTGGTGAACTGTGGCACCGAGGAATAATACAAACGGGCCAAAAGGAGTGTTGTGAAATGCGGATTCTTCTCATCTGTCATCTGTGGCCTGCATTATTGCAAAGACCCCCTAACTGTCCTCTCTGTTGCGATCCTTGCCCCGCTGTGGTCTGTGACAATTAACGTTGTGTCATCTCGACTGGCCAAGGGATGCCCAGATAGCTTGTAAAATATTAGTTTCTGGCGTGTCTATACAGGTGCTTCTGGAAGAGATTAGCGTCTGATTTAGTTGACTGAATGAGGAGGTCTGCCCTCACCAATGGGGTGGGCATCCCCTAGAGCAGTGGGGTCCCGAACAGAAAAAAAGGTGAAGGAAAGGTGACTTCCCTCTTTTCTTGAGCTGAAACATCCATCGTCTCCTGCCTTTGGACATCAGAGCTCCTGGTTCTCAGTCTTTTGACCTCAGACCTCAGTTATACCATCAACTCCCCTAGTTGTCAGGCCTTGGTACTTAGAGAATGACACCATAGCTTTTTTTGTTTTTCAGCTTGCAGGTGGCAGACTGTGGGACTTCTAGGCCTCCATAACTGTGTGAGCCAATTCCCATAATAAATTTCCTCATATATATCTCCATATGTCTTATTGGTTCTGGTTCTCTGGAGAACCCTGACTATTACAGAGTCTATCCTCAACACAGAGGATAAAGTCATCTTTTCAACCATATATGTTTTATCCCTCCTGTGCTATCAAACCTGCCTTGGCTTCTCAATCTCACTTAGAGGAAGTCCTCACAGTGGCCAGTAGAGCTCCCTATCATCTGACCTCTGTTATTTGTCCCATTTCATATCACACGATTGCCTGCCGTGGTTATTTTGCTCAGTGTACCACGGCCACCATCTTGTTTCTTAAACAAGCTGGTGACATTCTTTATCTCCACTTTGCATATGCTTCTGACTCCCACCTGGAGCGCTCTTCCCCCACAGAGCCACCTGACTCATTCCCTCATCTCCTCCAGGTCTTTGTTCAGATATCATATTTTTGGTGAGGTCTTCCCTGACCACGTTATTCAAAATTGGCCAGCACTACCATTGCTAAAGACAACCCTAATTTTTACTTTAGTTTGTTTATAGTTTGTCTCCCCTGACCAGAATGTGAACTCCATGATGGCAGGGATGTTGTTGTTGTTGTTGTTGTTGTTATTCATTGCTGAATCACTACTACCTAGAGAACTTGATAAAGAATAAAAGCTCGATAACAGTGTTTTTGTATGAATGAATACGCAAATAAATTTTGACATAATGGAATAAAAACTTCAACTGGATTTAAAATCCATTATCAGAAGAATTTAAAAATTACATTTGTCAGTAGGAGAGCTGTTGTGGTATTTAAATATAACAAGGCCTTATAAATTTAGAATGATTATACAATCAATGGCTTATATAGTTTTATTACCTTGTTATTTAAAAATAACACCAAGAGAGACCATCAGAATTTGAATAAGTCATCATTAAAATTTCTTGTGGAGGAATCATATGGAAACATTTCAGGCATTAAAACCAGATACTGAAAACATATGCTCGTGTAAAGACCATGGGAAACTTATCATAAACATTGAAAATATATTAAAAATATTATTTAAAAATCACATTTATCTTAAGGTACTGTCTATATATTTACTCATAATTATATAAGGGAAAACCATTATTTTTCTCACACAGCCCAACATACATCCCCAAATCCTTCCACTTTACCCCATTTGCCATGCAAAATTATGACTTACTATGTATGTTATTAAGTAAATAAGGGTGGCAAGTTCTGGTCTAGAGGGCTCACCATGAACCAATATTCCAAAGTGTGAATGTGGGCTTGAGGGATGGGGACCCGATGTGTCTACACTCTAGGCTATGGGTGAGTTGTGAAGTCTCTACTGTTGATGCTGAAAAGGTGGGTAGGTTCTCAGCGTGAGTTGCCTTGAATGTCACAATGAAGTTTTTGGCCTTTATTTTATAGGGATGGAGCAAGGAGTGGCAAATTTGTTCATGAAATATTAGACCACGTCTATGGCATTTCACAGGCCAAATGATACAGTCACATATTCACAGTGGTCATGATTTGCTAGAATACGAGTTTTTACTCATGGGTCTCACCCTTTCATATGCAAGCCCTAATCCACTCTCTGCCCTTTTCTATACTGCATCACCTCCCGCACAAAAATCAACTTGCTAGAGATAACGGTCTCCTTAATTTGTCAAGCAGGCCTTGATCACAGCCTGTTTTAATTTGGAGGGTCAGGTATACAGAAGGCCAAAGCTACTTGCTCTTCTTGATAAGAGTGTGAGAAGATTCGGTTGGGGGAGTAAGCTGCTCATATAAATTCTGCTGTGACTGTCAACGTTCCTGATTATTTTGTTTCAGAAAAGAAGAGGTTCTTCTGAGTGGAGCCCATGCCTTCATGGTCAGGACATTAGTTGGTGTTCCAGTCACGGTGAAGGAAAGGAGGTGAAAAGAAAGAGTTATATAAATCTCAGCAGCACTGAAGACATTCTGTGATTCCCAACACTTGTGGGTGATTTGAGTTATCACCCCTGGGTGCAAAGAGTCTGCAGGCCTCATACTGTCGAGGGCCTACTATAGAGGATGACCAGACCTGTTGTCCATCTAAAAGACTTGAAAAGTTTCCAGAAAAGAGTAGGAGCTGGTGATGTTTAGGCTGAGCACTCCTGATGACGGACAGCACGCCTCACAGGGGTGCTGGCGGTCATGTGATCAAGCTGATTAAAAGCTGACCGACAGTAACCCTGAAACATGGAGGGTGGTCTCAGAGCATATATAAAATCTAAGTCAAAACCTCAATTTCGGGTAGATAGAGCATACAATGACCTGGAAAATGGATCTGAAGGTTCAGGTCCCGGGTCATACAGAAAGATCTGGAAGGGGGGTGATGGTTCTCTGGGTCCCACCAGGTGTAGAGCTGGTTGGATTCTCTCCACAGTGCCCCCATGCCCTTGATTCCGCTCAGGTGGGCCCTTATTTCTGTCTAGGAATCAGGATCAGATCTTATCCAACTTCTGCACTCATTTTAGTAGTTTACTAAACATATATGTATCAGGTATTGTACTAGCTGCTGGGAATACAAAACATAATGTAGTTTGTCTTTGCTTGAAAAGTCACCGGCTGCTGGGACTATAGATTGCTGACAGGGAACCATGGTGGATCCCACCAGGGGAGTTGTAGCAGTGGGGGGAATCCTGGGAAGGAATTCACTCGGGCTTCACTTTGAAGAGAGGTATTCTGAGCAGGATCTTGGCCACCTTAACTTGGGTGAGCTTGCCAGGATGTGGATTTGAGGCTTCCTATAAGCACAGCCATGGTCACTGTTCATATCCAGGCTGAGGGCCGCAGACTTAAGCTGAACCCTGGCAACTGGAACCATGAGGTTTGCTGATCAATAGATTCTTTCCGTTTGTGCTCTTCAAGATGTCATCAGAGTTGAGCCACACTTGCTGAGTAGTATTCCAGAGATAGTTATTTAAATATAGCCCAATAGCTGAGGCTAATGAAAAAATTCACCTTAAAGTCACCATGAGGTACTCGGAAAGTCTGAGCTCTATGGAAGGCCAGACGTGGATGAGAAGTTGGGCAGCACCTGACATCTAGTCAGGAGGCAGCTAGCTCGGTGTCCAAAACCGCCTTGGGCCGTTGGCTTCTCCATCCTCAAGGACAACTCCTCTGAAATCAAACTAGGTAGCATTCCCCCAAATAAATTCAAGCCTGACAAAACCGTTGAAGGCAGAGCAAAATGATCCCCGAAATACAGCAATGTCTTGCAACATTGCAGTGAATACACTGGAAAGTGAAATACGATTCTGGCAACATTTAAATATAGAACTCATGTGATACTTGCATGGGCTAAACCTGGCTCAGACAGAAGACACCCTAAGGAGGCTCTAAAATCTAGTACTAGTATTTTCTCTTCTCTGAGTTAGGAAAAGGAATTACAACATTATTTGGATTACTCTTCATAGGCAAAGTTACATATCCTTAAAATATACTAGTATGCTAAGTGTATGCATTCAGGATATCATGTGGAAATGCACACGGAATCACAATTGTACATACACAATAACCGCATGCAAAATGAAGACATTGATAGGAGGACAACTACATTTTTAAATTTTAGTAGACAAGGGGGGAAAAAACCCCACTGCATTTGGGTGAGCGGTCTTATCTGCCCTGATCTCATTCCCAGAACCAGCCGGATAATCCTGGTCTGCAGTCTGAAGTATGTGCCTGTTCCCACCTCCTTCCACCCCACCCAGCAGTGGGTGGGTTTTACATCTCTTAGCAACAGCGCAGGAAGAGTGTTTCCGCTTTAAATTAATTAATATGCTACATCAATCCGGTGCTGCTCTTGGTATGAGTTAATGCCAAATAGAGTTTGCTGACGCGGCAGGGAAACCACTGACTCCACCGAAATAGCAGGACCTCTGAGCGATGTTTGCTGCATACACACCAAAGGCTGCACGGTGTTCATGGTGGGGACGGTTTCTTTGGCAATCCACCTAACAAAAGTAAGGAAAGTCTGGCCTCGTTAGTACCTCCTTTGTATTCGAGCATATTATTTCAGAAGGGAGGGAGATGTTTTACCCCTGTTATCTTGTCTTGATTCTTTAAATCTCTGTGCATGCTTTGGTTCCTTCGTATTTTATTTGCATGAACATGTTCTAAATTCAATCCAAAGCTGAAGGAACCTTGGACCTGGCTGGGACCTAGGACCGAGAAGCAGGATTTCAGAAAGTTTGAGTCCTCACTGGCGTGGGTATTGTCATAAACCATCACTTGCGGGAAACCAGCTTCACAAAGGAAGCCTACGAGAAGTACATCAAAGATTACGTGAAATCAGTCAAAGGCAGACTTGAAGAACAGAGGCCAGAAAGGGTGAAACCTTTTATGACAGGGGCTGCAGGACAAATCGAGCACATCCTTGCTATTTTTAAAAACTACCAGTCCTTTATTGGTGAAAACATGAATCCGGGAGGCATGGCTGCCCCGCTGGCCTACTGTGAGGAGGGTGTGACCCCATATATGATCTTCTTTAAGGATGGTTTAGAAATGGAAAAATGTTGCCGAATTTGGCTCTTAACTTTGGACGTTATCACCCGTCGTCATAGCTGGCCGCTGCTCAGTCACACAACACCAGGACTGAAGACGGATGGGACTGACGTCATCTTGAGCTCTTCATTTATTCTGACCTTGCTTTATCTGGAGCGGAGGCATCGTTTCTAAGAAAACGTGCCATGTAGGTGGTTTAAAAATAAAATGCATTTAAACTCAAAAAACCTCTTTACCGTCAAGGTAAAGAAGGACCTTTCAGATGTTGTGGTATCATTTAGAAGGGACAGATTACAGGGTGAGTGCAGAGCTGGGATAATTGAGCTGTAAAGCTCAATTGAGCTGAAAAGACAAGGCTGCCATTAGTACGGGGACAGCGGCGTGCAAATAGGCACATACGTGTGTTCTGATTTATTTGGAATATTCTTACCTGCGGCAAATTACCCCCAGACACGCCCAGAGACAACCTAAGCTCTGCTTCAGCCTTGTTTGGGACATATTCAGCCGATCAGGTGGTTTCTCATCACCCCGCCTCCCACCCGGAGCCCCGCAAGTCACGCTTATTTATAAAACGTCTGAAATCCAGAACACACCTGTTCCAGAAAAACAAAATCACACAAAAGTTCTGGAGCAAGTAGGTGAGCCCACAGAAGCCTGAAGGTAACTGCTGTGGGATCAAGTATTAACAGGGCCAGGCAGAGCAAACCATCGCACGGAAGGACGTTTCTGTGAAAAAAAATCCCGTTGAGAGATGCCGGGAGTGGGCTGTGCCCATGGGAATGGCAGCGGAGAGTTCTGGAGCTACACGAACCGGCCGGTGGGAGTGAAAATCCCTTTGTGGGGCGAGACCAGCCGAGGAGGGGTTGGGAAGCAGTGCCTCTTACCTTCAAAGGGTTTGAATTTGCCTCTGGGCTCGGTGAGGAGTCGGATTATCATAAATGAGCATCATCTACTTGGGAGAGGGGAAAGAAGGCGGCATAGAGTTGCTCTCCTTGGCCAAACACGGAATTCATCGGGTCTGAGTGTTGCAAGCAGAAAGAAGTCATCGCTTACAAGATGCTGGGCACTACCTGAAGCGCTTAACGCTTAACTAGTTCTCACGGCGCACATGAACTTGCCATTTCTGTCGGTCCAGGCTGGTCAAATATCGCCATTTTGACGTGGTTTTAAACTATCGCTTCACACATTCTCCCATCTGACAGATTTGAAAGACTTGCTAAAAACTCACCCAACGTCACAAAGCTAGTGAGTAGCTACAGATCAAGTGTTCTTGCAGGGACAAATGGTACACTCGAAAGGGGATGCTGGAAGAAATGTAATGAGAGATTGATTACAAATGGGGTTAAGAGAAATCAAGAAGGAGGGGGAACATCCTGGAAAAGCCACCCTAGAGAGGTAAAGGAAATGGACATGAATGGGTACGGACCTCAGGACAGAGTGGGCACTGGGAGACGGCTGGAGCTGGAAGAAGGGTCGAGTTGAACAAAATACCAAAGGGATGTGCGTGTGTGTGTGTGTGTGTGTGTGTGTGTGGAGGGGAGGGCTGTAAGTCACCATGACTCATGCATGGCCTTATAAATGGCGTTAGCATTTTTCTTTTTTCGTATCTAAAAGGTCTGGAGTCAGGTGTTTATTCTTTTTAATACGCAGTCCCTGCCAAAAAATTCCATAGGCGCCATTCTGGGCACAGCAGGGGCATTTCATGGGCCACGGCCACGGAACGACAGCTAGAAATTAGTCATTAGTTCTTAAAAGACATCCATTTATTGTCAAGCCTTAATTAATAGGTATCCAACTGGCCAGGACACTCAACTAGACTCTGTGTCCCCTTCATCTTCTGCTCCCTGCCAGCTCACATTTAGGAGGAAGGGGCAATGACAAGCCAACACGCTAATATCAGAGTTTTAAAAAGCCATCTGTGCCCAGAGGAGCAAGCCCTTGGTAAGCTTCTGGACTCTGCCAGCCATGCTCGACTCCTCTCTCAATCCTCTGTCTTCTTACCTGTCTGTTGCCAACCTTTGCTGCTGTTCCGACCTGTAGTCTTCATGTGCTCCGACCTGTGACTGTCCCCTGACTCTGGCCTCTGTGATTCAGGGAAGTTTAGGCCCAGGTAACTCGTGGATGTGCCGGCTGGTCCCTTCTGTTCCCAATGGCCCTCAGATCCCAATGTGCCCCCGTCCTCCACCGACTCCCATCTGCTGAGAGTGATATGTGGGAAACTTGGCCTTTCTCAGAAATAGCTGGAACGTGAGAAATTATTCCCCCAGAAGGAAGCCAGGCTGTGTGAGGAAGTCTTCAATCTTAGGGATAATTCCTTCTATTTTAAAAATGTCAGAGGGGTGCCTGAGTGGCTCAGTTGGTTGAACGTTTGACTTCGGCTCAGGTCATGACCTCGGTTCGTGAGTTCCAGCCCTTCGTCGGGCTATCTGCTGTTAGCGTGGAGCCTGCTTCAGATCCTCTGTCCCCCTCTCCCCCTCCCTCCCCTGCTCATGCTCTCTCTCTCGAAAATAAACATTAAAAACATAATGAAATGTCAGAACATCCCAATCATACCCAAAATATCCAAGTTAGTCAGATTTGCATAATCTATTTGACAATCTATCTGGGGCTCTCCAATCGCTAAATGTCAGAGGTGATGTCATGCTTCATGCTTCCAGTGGATCGTCCGTATTTCTGGTCACAGGAAACTCTTCACCTTAAGTCTAAGTTTTTAAAAGTTCAAAGCACCTAATGTTTGCACGTGAAGTGAGTTTTATATCACGTTTTGATGCTAAAGTCCCGTAACAAACAGGCTTTTACAAGGAATTTATTCCTAAAAGCAACTCTCAGGCTCTGTCCTGAGGTCAGTACACATTCCTGTCCATTCCCCTCACCCCCTGTATCCACAACACTGTATAGTGAGAAGAAATATTATCACGAAGACTCTGATACATGGAGAAATCCTGGAAGGGTGTTCTGAATCATCAAATCAGAAATTCATAGCGTCATCGGCATTAGTATATTACCTGGTATTGTCAGTCTTTAAACATCTAGTATGAACTAGAGTATGAACTGATCAGACCAGTTTTCCCCAACTATTTCCGAGAATTGACAGGTTTCATACAAAAGAAATTCCACTGAATTCTTAGTTCTATCTTTTCCAACGGTTCAGGTTATCCTCCTGCTTGAAGCACCTGCTCTATTTTTAACCTTCCCTTACGTGTCACTTACATGATACAAACCATATAAAACTGGAAGAACTGCTTGATAAGAACTCCAGCCCAGTTCCCCACCACTTGCAAGATATCATAAGCCCGTTCTGAAATCAGACATGTGCTCTCCATCTTGTTTTTCCTTTACCATCTCTAGACAGGAGATTCCCCACCACCCACATCCCCTGCTCCAAGTCACCCCCATCCTTCCCTCATCCTGCCCCCCCCCCCCACCTCCAGTCCTGTCTTGAGACTTCGGCTCGGCTCCTCGGGTAGCAGGATTTGCGATCAGAACCGGCAGGTGGCGCCCTTTGGTGACCCTCAGTCATGAACACCGGAGTGTTTCTCTTGGGATCTTCCCCCTTAGACCTCTGCTTGTCTCCGTTAAATTGTCAGTTAGGTTAACGCTCCCACAGTTACCAGAGCAAGGGATGGCACTGGCAGATGGCAGCTGTTTGGAGTCATAAGGTGCCAGATCTATGAAGCATTCCTGGGGGACAGGCTTCTGTTTTCTGAGAGTCCTGCTCCTCGTCCCCCATCGCCTTCTTTATCTGATGTCTGCTGGACAGTATACATTTTCCAAGGATCGATTCCAGGGTCACTTCCTATATCTCACCTAGATTTTTCTCATCTGGGTTTCTAATTTCCCTCCACATTCTATTGCATCTCCCCTCACATTCTATTGCATGTTGTTGTTGTTGCTGCTTTTGTCTGCCCGCACGCCTCTTTATGAACAGCTTTGTGTGGCCACGATTGCTTCTTCTCCAGTGCTGTTTACTTCAAGGCTTTTTGAAGAGCCTGTGTGCAAGCCAGTCTTGTGTGATTACAACAAACAAATGCTGAAGCACTTTGAGGGCCTCACTGCAATTTTTTTTTTTCATTTTTTTTTTTCAACGTTTTATTTATTTTGGGGACAGAGAGAGACAGAGCATGAATGGGGGAGGGGCAGAGAGAGAGGGAGACACAGAATCGGAAACAGGCTCCAGGCTCTGAGCCATCAGCCGAGAGCCCGACGCGGGGCTCGAACTCACGGAGCGCGAGATCGTGACCTGGCTGAAGTCGGATGCTTAACCGACTGCGCCACCCAGGCGCCCCTCACTGCAATAATTTTTATTATTGGTGCCTCCTTGGAAACTTGTGACTTTCTGCCACTTTGGTTATTCTTCTTGGTGTTTGCAAGGCCATTCCAGCTGTGCCTTCACGACGCAGCTCCTGGGGCGCCTGGGTGGCTCAGTCGGTTAAGCCCTCTGACTTTGCTTAGGTCATGGTTTGTGGGTTCGAGCCCTGTGTCGGGCTCTGTGCTGACGGCTCGGAGCCTGGAGCCTGCTTCGGATTCTGTGCCTCCTTCTCTCTGCCCCTCCCTTGATCATGTTCTGTCTCTCTCTCTCAAAAATAAACAAACATTTAAAAAATTAAAAAAAACCCAAAACACAACTCTTGTCCCGGCGCCCTTATTTTCATCTTGACCAGTGGCATTGCCAGTTGCTGCTTTTGTCATTTTGCCTTCCTTGGTCTCTCTCAATGTTCCCGGGAATCACTCCACTCTATCTCACAGCCTCCCAACACGAGGCAGATAACAGTATTGCCCTGGGCACATTTAGCACTAGAAACATTCCACGTGTGACGTTCAGAATATGGTCTCAATAAATCCCCACAATAATTTGTCCAGGGAGAAGTTAATTTCCTTTTATCAACGATGAATCACAGGTTAAGAGACTTGCCGCCCGGAAATCCTCAATCCTAAGTCATTGCTCTTTCTACCGGGCCAGTAGTTCTCAAAGTGCGGTTTCCACACTTTGACAGCAGCAGCACCTGAGAACTTGCCAGAAATGCTAATGCTCAGACCTTGCCCCAGACCTACTGAATCAGAAACACTGGCAGTGGGACCCAGGGTTTCATTTTTTTTTTTTTTTTT